TATTTTAGCATTCTGGAGTTGAATTATTTTCTTTATGTTTGTTTCCATAATAGATATTGCAGATGTTATTCTGTAATCAATATCATGTGTATGTGTGTGTGTGTGTGTATTTTATAGTCAGTTTATTATTGGTAGTGTTATATGTGTCTATATAAATATATTTCAGAATATATTTGAATTAAAATATCGAGAAAAATATATTTTATTTATCTTTTATTATGTATGTTTGGTATAATTATGAACGTGCACATCTACTATCATTTTCTGTATCTATGGTTTATATATGTCCCATAACAGAGAGGAAGCCAGACAGAGACAAAGAGGTCTGAGGACATTAAGTATGTGTAGGTGGGACATTTCATTTAAAATTACTAACTTAATTATGGTCAGAGCCAGTGGTCGAGACCTCCACCTCCGCACACTCTGGAATGCTCTAGAGGAATGTCTTCCAAGAAGGGCCAGATAGAAGTGCTTTGTTTGGAAATAAAGCTTTTGTTTTGTGTGTTTGTGTGTGTGTGTGTGTGTGTGTGTGTGTGTGTGTGTGTGTGTGTGTGTGTGTGTGAACTCTGATCTGGCTGATTACGGTCATTACAGTCATTGAGGTGTACAGAATCACAATATGACGTGAGAGAGAGTGTGTGTGAGTGAGTGTGTGTGAGTGAGTGTGTGTGTGTGTGTGCGCGCGCGCTCCAGCTCTGCTTTATGTTTATGATCTGCTCATTAGTCTCTGCTTCTCAGCTCCTCATTCTGGATTCCTCTGCTTTACTCTTTGCTCCTGGAGATGTAGATGCGGAGCTCTTTACCTGCGGCACAGCTCTTCATCAGTCATGTGACCAGCGCAGCGGTGTGTGTGTGTGTGTGTGAGCGCAGTATTAGCAGAGTAAAGTTTTGATAACCACCACACACACACACACACACACACACACACACTCACACACTCACAGGTGGATTTATATGTGTAATGGAGAAACATTCCAATAAAGCTGATGGTTTCTAACTGCGTGTCTGAGCGTCTCCAACACACCCTCACTAGTGGCCTTTGGCTGATTCTGAAGGGTCTGCGGGCGTGTTTGGTTATTTCTGCACAGATTTGTGTTAAACTCTGTGTGTTTATGTGATTTTGGGGGACTCATAACTGAAACCTTCATATATGAAGTGTAAGTGTAAAGGGTTTTACTGTTTATTACATGTTTACCATGCAAATCCATATATCTCATATAATATCTGAACTACAGCACAGACAATAATACAGTGTAAACCGCACTGCACATAAACCAGATGAACATCATCATATCAGTCAATAATATTACTGACACTCATTTAAACTGAATAAATCTAGATTTACACAAACAGAGTCGGTGATGGTTAAACTCTGACGAGTTCTGCATGAGCAGATTCTGTGTAGGCTGACCTCTGACCTCTGGGATGACCCTTCACTGATGCTTGAGATGTGAGACACCCTCCAGTGTAAACAACCCATCAGTTCAGCTCCTCGACGGCCTGTGAGCTGTTCAGTTCAGCTGTTGGGTGAGCTGTTTGAGACGTGTTGCTCATAATTCTGGACACAGTCGATGTTAAATCAGCATTTCCTCCTCATTTACAGTTACCCGTGGCTCCAGACCTCTGAGTTTCTTCTGTTGAACACAAAGCGCTAACCTTCTCTAACAGGGTTAGCTGAAATGCCAGTTGTCATGTTGTGAGCTGTGCCTTTAGCATTGACCGTGCAGATGATCTGCGTCAGTAACTGCATCATCTGTGTTTGAAGACCCTGATCATCATGTAAATAAAACTAATCATCTCCTGATTGGTCAGTATGGCTAGCATGGTAATTAGCATAGCCTCTGTTCATTTAGTTTAAGCTTGTTTGTGTAGCGCGGTCACATTAGCAGTTGTCTGAAGCAGCTTTACAGAAATATCACTGCATTACAGTCAGTGAAGGTTATTACTGCAACTATTGGGTACCAACAACTTTAACCAAGCACTTTAAGCACAGTTACAGATATTGTTAACACCGTTAGCCTGCAGTTATTTAGCATATGAGTGATGTCTGTGTGTAGATGTATAATGGAGTGTATTGAGTGTGTGTGTGTGTTGTACTATGTCCTCGATGGTTGGCGTAATCTCTTCACTGGTCTTGGATCTGGTCTTCACGTCACCTCAGCTGATTCCTGCTGATTAGCCGCTGAGCTTGGCGTATATTTAGTATTGTTGTGTTGTTTTCGGTGGCGTTACACAGTCAGCTGCCTTTCAGGATTATTTCCTGCAGTTATCAGAGAATACACAGTCTTCATCAGAAGTGTTTGGGAGTAATTCATGTTGTTCATCAGTGGATAAACATCATAAGAGCCATGTTTAGTGGCTCAGTGTGTTTATAAAAGACGAAACACTTTACTGATATAGTGTACAGCCCAGCACATGTCAGAACACAGACGCGCCGCAGGTGATGAAGTATTAAGCTGCGGTAAACTGCACTGTTCTCCCTATACACTTTCATTCATACACACACGAATGAGTCAGACCGGATACACAGACACAGGCATCAAGTTTTGCAGGTCGCTGCGGTGCAGTTCAAGCTTGGTGAACTCTGACCTGCGAAATTGCATCTCTTGACGGTGTGAGACCAATCAAAACATGACCTGTCTGTACACAAATTTAAAATATGGAGGAATCACCCGCTTTATTAATGTCTAATTATGTTGTTTATTCCTGCCCTCTTGTGCAGCGCAGTTCGACAGAATTTTCAAACTCTAATCTGAGCGCAGCTTTAGGCGTTTCTCCCTATGAAAAGCCCGTCTAAGCAAAATGCTCGCAGGAATCTGTAGCTCTGCCCGCCTCTTTGCCCTTTTTCGGTCACCCCCGGTTGGCATGATAATGCATAAACAAAATGGTTACGGTTGGCCACGCCCACTTGTAGCTTAATTTGCACTCTTCAGAAACAGAAGGGTGACGTCAGACACTAGGTCCATATCTTCTGCAGTCCATGGCAGGGTTTCTGTAGGGTCTTAACAGATCTTTAAAGCTCAGAATCCAGATTTTAGGG